ATTTAACTAATGGCAAGGTATCTTAAAAAAACTTTTTTTTTTTTTTTTTTTTTTTTTTTTTTTTAAGAAAACAAGCTCTTACTTTCTCTTTTTGATTAACTACTTATTGGTGTAAACTTTATAAATTATTAGCAATTACCATCGTACTTACGTATCCAACTCTGCTTTACAAGGTTTTAGGCGTTCGTGCCAATTTTAGAAAAGACTGATGTTTTGAACACAATTAGAACTTGCAAAAAGGCAGAGTCAGTATTTATAAGAAAGAATATTCAATTTCAGCGTGCTTCGATGGAAAATGCTTTGAAAACTTGCATGCAACAAGTATATACATGTATATGTGTATATATACATAAATATAAATATATATATATATGCACATATAAAAGATCATCACACTCGTACTCAACAAGTATATAACCAGCAAAAAATGCACACATATGGCAAACACTCCGCTCTCACCAACATAATTATTCGGCGAGGAATGTAGAACGTTTCTTTGTCTCGTGTATGTGCGCTCTCACATTGTTCTCGTCATCATTTCTCATGTTTTTCTCGCGTCTCAATAAATCGGATTTTTCTTCTCAATAAATAACTTTGTCAAGCTATTTAAAATTCAAAAAGACATTACAAATTGCAGTACAGTTTTTTTTGCAACAAATACACACAAAAGTAGTCTTTTTTTGTTTTGCTATTTTTCTTATTTATAATTATTATCGATAACATTGATCGATGTTCGATTTTCGGTTGGCAGGGTGTCACAAGATTTAAAAACCACACCGTTTCACGAGGGATTTCAAAGCTATAGATTGCGCGATGTACTTATTGTTTGAAATAATCAGTTGTGCGCATCTCACACATCACGTTCCTTTTTTCTTTTTAATTTTTCTAACACGGATGTTATAACAATCCTCTTATCGATGATCTTTATGTTAGTGAACACAACTTCTATTCTGCTAACAACGCAGAATATTTAACGAGGCGTTTCGCTTTATATTATCTGTCTGTTCTTTCGATCTAAATCTCACATACATCTCTTCATTTTTTTTTTTTTTATGCATGTGCGTAATTTGGCTTGATAATTTCACACGCAAGTTTATGTTATGAGATGATTGCTTATAAATGTATGAACGGTTAAGTTTGGAGGTACAAGAGCTGTTTGACCACACAATAGAAAATATTCGAACTTCCAACAAGGCCGCGACATGTCCTAAGCGAGCTTTTTCTCCGTGATATTATTGTTGGCAACATATCCGTTGTTCGTGCCGTTGCTGTAACAACTGTTGTATTCCTTGTTGTAAATCATTGCGTACGAGGACACGCCGTTATGTTCCGCGCTGCCATTCTCGTCTAAGACCGGCATGCAAGCTCCACCGCCGCCTGACATACCGTTCTGCATTTTTTTCGCAGAACTTTTGCCGCTGTACTTTGTTTTGTAAAAGTCTGAGAACAATCCAAAGAACAGACAACCGTGCAAGCCGATCCAGATCATAAAACTTCGTGGATAATTGCATTCGGTGAACAGCAATTGGAACTGATGGAACATGATCAGCACAAATTGCACCTGGAATCAGAAAGACAAAAAAAAACATATATAGCACGTACATTTGCTCCTCATACGAACTATTAATTCCATAAAGAACTACTTTCATAAAAACACGAAGTGAAAACACGAACTCACCATTTGCATGGTAGTAAGATATTTTTTCCACCAAATGTACTTCTGGAACTGCGGTCCCATCGCAGCTATCATGTAATATAAGTACATCACAATGTGTACAAAAGTATTTAAGAGAGCGAAAAAAGTGCTATGACCACCCGGTGCAAACTTCACTCCCATCCATACAGAAAAAGGCATTACCCCATGATGAATTACGTGAAGTGTTGATACATGTTGGTTCTTCTTCCTCAGGATAAAAAACAGCTAAAACAAAAATCTAAATTAAATTAAATCAAACAAACAAGATTCTCCTGGAGACACAACAAAGTTTTTGCAATTAATTTTAAATTACTTATTGGATTGTGTTTTTAATTCGAGATTCAAACTCGAAAGACCTTACTATAGGATGAATATGAAAAGTCAAGATACTTACTGTATCGAAGAACTCGGTGAATTTGCTAAAGTAGTACCACCAGCAAGTTCTCGCCATTCGGAGGCCTATTGGACTATTGGAATAGTCCACTGGCTGGCATCGGATACTGTAACCTCGCGCCCAACCGCTCATCAGATACTAAAACACAGTCGTATTCACAACATTTAATTATTCGCAGAACACTATTTACAGTATATATTGTATTGAAATTCTGACAAGAATCGACATTTTTGCGAAAGTTAAAATGCACACTTTTTTCATTCAATATTAAATACAATAAACCCGACAACGTGTGTACGCATTTAATTCCAAGTAATAAAAAAGTGTTTGTAAACTGGAACTGGTATTAAAATATACGTACAAACACAGCAAAAATTGTAAACAGTTCTACTACAAGATTTTATGATTAAAACAGACGGCAGAGATTCGGGAAGCGAGATGCTAAAGATAGCACAGCACTTATTAATTGTTTTTAATTTATGAGTTTCTGGTTATAAATTAACAATACTATTAATGTCGCTTGTCAAAAACTGTGTACAATTATTACGAGTGAAATCAGACTTTGTTCGAGCTTGCATTTTTTTTTTTTTACAAACAAAGTGCCAACTTTACTTCGGTCTCGAAAAAATTCGATCTGTTTGTTAAAAGTATGTAATCAACTTTAATTAAGCTGACGCCATTGCCATATAACCAGCATGGATACTTTTTATAGACTCATTTGCATTCATTCGCTGCTCTATAAATTAAGAATTCAATATAAGTTGATCGATCTGTTAACTTGAGTAACTCGTTTCTGTGGAATACTTCTATATATGTATGTACATAGAGTCCGAACCTATATTCTTAATCTCTCTGTAAGCTTAAATCAAAATTTCTTCTCTAATCTTGTCTCGTTCTTTATAGTCACTGATCGAAGAAAAGAGAATAGAAAGAAGTAATCTTAACTTGTCGGGAAAGAGAGTCACCGAAACCTTGATATTTAAAAATTATTTATTGATATTTCACAGACATATGAAATATGTCATTGAAATTTTTTTGTTTCCAAGAATCTCATTACTAAAACAAAAAATCTCGTTATTAAAATCATTATTAAGTTCTCTTGTGTTAACTTATACAATATATAGTTTTATATTAATACAGAGAGAGATTCCTATTTATATATTATTTTACACATATAATATTATATTTTTCTGTTAATTTAATAATAATGTGGGAATAAGTGCAAGAAGAGAATAGAGAGTTTTTAAAATTTTCTGTAATCATTTACGTGATACAGATTACATGACACTTATTCTCTTACTGATACGTGACGTATCAGTTTCATCATTTTTTTTTAATATCAATTTCGGTCATTACCGTGACCTATCTCAAATGTGACATTCCAGTTATCTTCGAACGAATATCGGTAACGCACGCGCGTGCAACGGTATCGTGGTATCGATGCGAACGCAATCTTAATTACACACAAGTCCAATTCGTACAACTGATATCTCTTTAGATACACGCGTATATGCACGCAAAAAAAAAAAAATTTTTTTAAATAACTAAGTATATATATACAAAGTAATCACTACATTATGATTTAACTCTTTAAATTCCATTAGCGGCGACGTAAGTAAATTGCATTGACTAATGCGTTGAAATGCAAAGGATTAATATTGACTTTTGAACAATTTTTTTCAAAATTTTTGCATTCAATCACAGTAATTGATTAATAAAAACAGAATCAAAATTTACAAAAACGAGATATAATATTCTAAAATGCAATAAAACCTAATATTTATGATACATGCAATAAATCCACAACTATTGTATTTATTATAGTCACGCATAAAACACACATGTGTATGTATGATATGTATGGGCATTTTGTAGATACACAACATTTAATTAAGCGAATAATGCGTATTGCGACTAAGCACTTGTTACTATACAACACCTGATAGTACACTGTGTGCAATTGTAATTTCCGTCCGCGTCCGGTTAACGATCGATATCTTTAGTCGCTCGTATTTCTAACCGAATTCCATTAGCTTGTTATTCATGCGGTATCATACTCTCGCCAAGACAACAATAAAAAAATATCAATCGCGATCTAGATACATGCTTATTGATTGGTATGTATTAATTGGTATATTGATAATATTTGAAATATGTCACACTTTTTCTTTCCCTTTCCTTCATATATGTCTTCACTATACATATATCTATCTGATAATTTCAATCTCAAAATGCTTTTGGCATATAAATTTCATATAAATAAATCGAGAACAAATTTTTTTTTTGTGACAAGAAAGATAGTAAAAGTTTTAACTATTGGGAGATCTCAAAATGTTTGCTAGAACGTGCTTCTCTTGATAAGGAATCGCGTATTGCTGCTCGTCGAAGTTCACTCTTCGAACTAGGACACTGCCAACGGCAGTTGACTGACTCTGTCGAAACAAAATGCGAGAAAGGAATAATTGAAGGCCGTCTGCTAGGCACAATCGCAATTAAATTCTTACAGGAAGTGATTACGGAAAATAACGCAAGTGTATTTATATATGTAAATTGTAACTACATACGTAACTAAAAATTCTTGTTGATCCGTCGCTCATACAATTCATTTCCTCATTGAAAAAAGACTTTCATTGAGACAATATTTGTTGCCCATAATTAAAATTAGTTTGTTTTACTTTTACATTTTTTTTTGTTCATTTTGTTTCTTATATTATTATAGCTATTGAAAAATGTGCTTATATGTTAAAACGCAGACATTTGCGATTGAAGCGACATTCCAAAGTCTGATATGTTTAATAATACATGATTTACCTTGACGATTTGCCGGAAACGAATATTTTATCGCTTAAGATGTTATTGTTTTACTTATTACGCAAAAACCGTATTTTACTTGCGTCAAGAAAAATATTTTATTTCTGTAAAAAGATCCCGAAGTGAAAATACTAATAGACAAAAATTACAGTATAAAATTTATGTTTATTTACAATATAATAAAACAAATATCCTAATCTTTCTATCAATAAATTCAATTACTTTGCGGTTTAAACATAAAATCGTATAAAAAAGCAAACCTCATAGAATATCCACGTGGAGAAGAGTGTTTGTAGAAGATTATATATTATGAGAATCCTTCGAAGATCGAAAGGCTTTCTGTTTTCCATCAGCTTCGGTCCCAGAACCTTGCTAAAGTAAGCGTAAAACAGGCATATTGCCAGGGTCGGAAACGGGCTGCTCATCATGACCCAGTCGTTCACCCTGGGATCTGTAAACAAAAGAAAATAAAAAGATTAAAAAAAGATGAGAAAAAAAAAGGACGCAAGAATAAATGACAAAAGAACCGGTCAGCGCTCGGAAGCTAATTTAGAAGAGAAAAAAAAAATGTCAAGATCGATAAGAAACCTTGGAAGAAATAAAACGAAATTTTAATTCTTGCTTGAAAACAATTGACGCGCAAATGTATATCCAGTATTTGTAGATATATATACGGAAAGTGGAGCACGTGTGATGATTTAAAAATATTTTATCGTGTATTACACAACACGTCTCACGATGCGCACCTGTTAAAGTTCGAAAGTGTGTGGGAAGCGTTATGCGGGACAAAGAAATCTGTCGTCAACACGTTAAAATCACACACAAACCTGGCAAATAAATATCAATTGCAAATGGAAATTCAAAGCTTCTGGCTCTCGTTCCAGCCATATTATTGAATTATTACATCAGAAGCGAGAAATCCATATATAAATCTTTCTTGTTATCCGATTCATATCAAAATAAATTCAATTTTTTCTCATCGCGAATTATCATCTAACATAGATCGATAAAAACTTGCGCTAAAACATTTTCCTTCTTTATTATTCTCACTGATAAGTGCGTGCATACACTTAAATATCTGTGTCATATGTCTCCAACGAAAATAAATCTTGCGAATTAAAAATGGGCCGATACGAAGTGAGATACTGAATGTTCTTGTACGAAGTAAATTTTTTATATTCAAAAATGCCAAACGTTTCGACTCCTAAATTCAGTCTTCGTCAGTGGCGTACAAAAATCTGTAAAAAAAAACTGATTTCGGAAATGATCCAAATTAAATTGCACGAACTAATGCTACAAATATCATCGTGTCGGATATCGAGAAACTAAAAATCTTACTTCTCATTTCTAGAATCATATAATTCTAAATAAATATATTTCTTTAAGTTGTTCATCTTGAAAATTTTGACAAACGTATTATTGGCGCGGTGGGGAATAAGTTTAACTTATTTTCGATCTTTGTGAAGACTGTACGTCAATCGTGTTGCGTTGTGCTTGCACATTGCGTTTCATCAAGCATGTACGCGGTTTGAAAACGCGTTGTTTTTAATCAAAAAACCATTATTACAAATAAAAAAATTTTTCCGTGTGTCTCCCTCGCTTTGAAATCTGACGCACAGCTTGATTGTTTTCCCTGCGGTGTGAGTTTTTTAAACAATTATATCAATCCTTTGCCCAATTGTTGTGTGTTTTGTAAACCTTTTATATAATCTTATTTGGTATCTTTTGTATACAGATTTTTGTACGCCACTGATGAAGATTCAATTTAGGAGTCGAAACGCGTTTGGCAGTTTTGAATATAAAGACACTTTACTTCGTACAAGAACATCCATCCGGTACCTTACTTCGTATCGGCCCATTTTTAATTCTTAATTGACAATTTCACGAAGTATATCCGTACATCGCTTACACTTGATAAATCTTACGATTCTATCCAGAAGAGACTTAATGTCACATAGATTATATTTGCGGTTGTTTTCTCTTTTATACTCTTTTTATAACAATATTTTTAAAAACGCATTAAAAAAAAAAAAAACAAGAGTATTATCAACAATTTTCCAACGAGCAATCTTTGTTTTGCCGAGCACCCTATAAACGCCATATACCCATGTTTCTCCACCACCCTTCGGAAGAGGAAGAAGCGGAGAATGGCGCGAGTGCGTGCACGAGGCGCGAACGAGTGAGCAGTCGTCTTCCGGTAAATTACCCTCGCGCTCGTATGATCCGACAGAGAGAGCGCGATTTTTTTTCCTCTTCTCTCTCTGTCTTTCTCCCTTCTTTTTTTTTTTTTTTTTTTTTTCAACATTCTCAGCAAAACGCCTCGGTTCTTGGCTCGATTACGAGCTGACGGTGCGCGGTGCACAGCTTGTCGTCGATATTTACGCGTTAAACTTCGCACACATGTATTAGAATTTAATCAGCTTCACCTCATGCTACTGTTAATTAACAAGTTAATGCGGCTATATCAATGCACACGCTGTTGTATACTTATGAATATCAATTCGTTTTGAAGCGTACTATACTAATAAATTATCTCAGAAATTTATATGAACGTGAGTACGCCGAACAGAGAAACATCGTGTAGAGCGAGAGCCACGTATATGCGCGTTCGTGAGTTTTCCTCTCATCAGACTACTCACTCAGAAATTATATGTTATATTGATAAAAAAAAAAAGGATCATATAGATTTAATAAAGAATCCAATTTGAATAGAATGGAGAGACGTTAGTAATCGATTTGGAGGATTTTATTTGCATTGTAAAATTAAAAACTCGAGTTTTTTCTTCAGACGTTTCGACCTTTATCTTGAGTCTTCTTTAGTAGTATTATTCTCTATCTAAAAAAACTCACATTTTTGTTCTGACGACGCGTACATACCGTCAAAATGTTAAATAAGAATGTGATATTATTGAATCAAAGGTGTCGTTAGAACTGAGACGAAATGACGTCGTATAGTATTCAAAATATGTTTTTACGAAGCTGAAGAATGAGTGATGTTGTTCTTGTTCGAGTGATGTATTACGTAATAACGTCATAATGTCACATCAGACAGCATCTTTTTTTACAACGTCGCATAAAAACGTCTAATAACATATCTCCATTCTGTTATTAGTCGGAAGTTTTACTTTTAATCCTGACAAACATTATTTATTCAAACAAATGGCTATAAAGTGATATTAAGACAGAAAAATATTTACAACACTTCAAATACATTATTCCTCGTTTCTTCAAGCTCCTTGCACAATGCGAGGGAATAGCGTCAAGCAATAGACACAGAAATTCCAATTCGTCGGAAATTTTATCGCTATTGCTTATTCCGTTTTCTGATCCGCATTGATACGTGTGTATTTTTGTATGTTAGATTCCGGTGTTCCCCTACTGTTATTTATGAATATAAACTCTTTAAAACCGGTGTTATATTTCTATCGCTATCGCTATTCCTTTCATTGTGCGAAGGGCTTCAGCTTCGTAAAAATACTAATAATAAAATAATAATAAAATTTGAGAGAGCATGACACACTCATTTCGTCTCAGTTCTGACAACACCGTTGACTCAATAATATCACATTCTAATTTAACATTTTGACACTACATACACGTCGTCAGAACAATGTGAATTTCTTTAGTCTGTGTAATCCTTGTATAAACCGGGACTACAAAAAGCTTAACAAGATTTAAACATTGAGTAAATCAATCAATCACAGGCCGGTATTCTTTGAAATGTAAGTTACTACGTTGAAAAAAATAGCCGGTTTATGATAGGTTTGAGTTTTTTAATACGTAAGTTTTTCTTTGCTTAAGTTTTCCGCGCATGTTCACGATTTTACAATCGTAGAAAAATAACAAACACGTCAACGATCGGACGTGACTTAGTTGGCGTTATATTTTTTCTGCCACGTAACACGAAACATCGCGTTTTAATGAAAAAAAAAGGGTAGAAAAAAAGAAGATAGAATATCGGTCGCCGTGCTAATCATTGCTCTGCTTTCATTGATTTTAAGAGAGACGTCGTGACGAAGCGTCAAACAACTGTGCAATTTTCTTTGCTCCCGTCACGCCCCGATTAAAGGACAACGCCGATCTTATCTGTATTGATAAGCGCGTTGATGAACGTCTATTATTCACGTCACAAATTAGCGTTTTAGTTCTCTCTCGAACAAGTTAATGTTCACAGCAGATATAGCAATATATACTGTTCTTTTTTTCAAGATTTTTTTATCTCACACAGGTTAAAAAAAAAGCAAAAAAACAAAAAACTGAAAGAAAAAGCATGGTTGAATAAGTATGTAAATCAGATTTTAATGATTTCGAAACGACTCTGAATGAATTGAAAAACCAGGAAAAACCTTGACGGCATTGCGACGGAATATATTGACTTGTGCCCTTTCGTCGTGTTCGAGATTCTTCTCATCGTCGTTGTCGTGAAGATACGCGTGGTAAACAGACTTCCCCGAGATTATTGAACTTTCGGTTGTAATATGCTCGAGATTTTCTGGAAAGAAGCTTGAAGTCTTTGAGGTTTTCCGATCTCTGCATCTTGAATAAAGTTGCAGCACGCTTCTCTCGAAATTATTTGAGAGAAAATACCCTTTTCTTTTGCGAGACATAAATCTAGGGACATCCTTCTCTTATTTCTTTTTTTTATTAATGTCTGTTACGAACCAATTCCACAATGTATAAATTTCAATGAAATATATTCGGCATTAATTTATTCAAAAGTTTGCTTACGGAATATTACGTTGTTTTAGCGAGAAGATACATAAGATTGCACATACATATAAAGTTTTGAGTTTTCATATAAATGTAAGATGTTAATAAATATTCACAAAACGTGTATCTTCTCTGCTAATAAATTCATATAACAGATATGTCTATTCATATATTCCTTTGCACTGCCATCAGAATTAATTTTAAAGAATGGTCATTTTGATTTCTTAAGTAATTATTAATTTAAAATACGCGTTGTGTGTCGCAGGATGTAATCTTTTTTACGAGATTACGAAAACTATAACTCACAATCAGACAGCAGCACATGTTTCTACGCAGTTGTATATTGCTTTGCATAAAAAACAAATAAACAACGACTTAAGACTTTTTATTGATTTTTTTAGACATCTCTGTTTTTTTTTTTTTTTTTTTTTTTTTTTGGTTTTTCTGTGGTATCTGCGTTTAATAAATTAAAATAATGGTACGAGGATTAAGTATAAAGATTCTAACGTGAAATGTTAGACGTAATAAAATCTATCTTATAAAACAATAATTATAATAAATGTATATATTACAAAAAAGTAAAAGTATACTATAAAATTGAAAAAATAATATGTTAAAAAACACCAAATAAAAAGTCTCACAAATTTACGTAAAATAAGTTACTAAATTTTAATATCGTTAAAAATTCATGTGTGTTAAAATATATCATTCAAACTTACCGGACTGATTGTCCATAAGGTCCCTATAACTATGTATCCAATTTGTCACTGCGCTCGTCATCTTGGATAAGATCTATAAACAAAAACAATATTTTTTAAGTTACTAAAAAAATGAACAATTGCACGAGGTTGTTTATTTTAATTATTGCCAAAATCAATCAAGTAATAAATATATCAATTAATTAATATTAAAGACTAAACTTTTTGATTCACTAAACATAAAAAAATCCTTGACATATATTAATATGGACATATTATACTGTATGTTAAGAACAAGTTTTTTTTTCTTTCTTTCTTTTCCTCGCAAATATATAAATTCATCTACAGATATAAGAAGTCATACAATGAGAAACGTAATGTGACTTTATAAAATATAATAATAATAATAATAATACAAGAGAAAAGCAATCGTAAATTTACAAAATGAATTTTAACGCATTTTAAAGCAAATATTTGTATACTTTTTGTCTCATGTCAGCAATTATTATTATCTTATTCCAGAATGACAGTTGTTTGCATATGCATATACGTATACGTGTGCATATATACTATACATACATGTTGATCTTATTATTATTTACTCACGCCTCATTCAATTTTTCCACACTAAATATCATTCTATATACAGTACTGACCCGTATGTAGTACGTATTACTTATTAGTGGGCCACGGAAGTAACGGTTCATCATCAGAATGTGCTTGCTTTAACATTTCGTCGAGTTTCTTTACTGCAGAACACACGCTGCCATTGACATACTGAGCTGTGATTTCAGTGTAAAGAAGGTAGAGGCGTAGTGTCGAGTGCGATCCACTATACATAAATGCAGGCGTATTTACGCGCTAAAGTGATCGCGTCAAAGTGAACACGAACGTACGTATAGTCACGTAGTTAATTCATATTTGATAAAAGCACTTAGCGCATGCAAATCATGTTCTAACAATAATCGAATGGTATAAAGACGACACTGAGAAAAAAATAACTTTTTATGTCGCGTTTTGTGGGTGCAAGTAAATGTCTTGTTTAACGTAATAACACGGGAAAAGAATCAATAAGAGCCATATTACGGCTGTGGTGTAAATCAATCTTGCATTTACTAAATTGACACTCATGGACATTGACACTTGGCTCAAATAGTACATTATTGTTGCTTTAAATAATATAGATACAATAAATAAATAAATAAATAAATAAATAAATAAATAAATATATATAAACACATATTTGCTTTGGTAAGATGTATATAAAAATGTAAATTGTCTTTTTTTATGTCATTCAATGTTTTTTTTTCACTTTTCTTTTCGGATTTTCTTTATTTATTATCGATATTGTGATGAGTTGAGAAAAGTAATAAAGATAAAGTAATACAAATTGCGTAAGACATAATAAAGCGAACTACTGTGTCTCACATAAATTTCTTTTTTTTTTTTTTTTGCTCACTCTTCCAAACTCTCTTCTCGCTCTCAAATATTACGTGCATTATAAATTTAGACAAACGTTAACGTAGGTCTTCAAAAACAAAGAAGCGAAAAAAAGAAAATACAAAAAAGTGGTACGCAAAAAAAAAAAAAAAATTACATTTGGTATATTGCAAAGTATGCCGCAGGAAGGTCATTAAATACAGAACGCACCAGAATTGATTGCACCTGAGTCAGGCGACGTAATTATTCACTTAAATGTATATGTAATTCACTTAAATGTATATGTAATTCACTTAAATGTATAGAAATAAAGAGATATAATCACCGTTATTTTACATTGTCGCTTATTTGTCAAATGACTCAATTGCACACAAACATGTAGCAAAAAAAAAACCAAACAAACGTCAAATATTACAACAATGTCTTGAGAGCTAAAAAGAAGTTTTATTACGTTTATTTTTCCGTTAACTTAATAATGTATCGCCGCATAACGGTACCGAAAATTATGTTCTATTTCTATGACTGTTTTGTTTTGCGGTTTTCTTATCTTTGCAAGATAGAGTTTAAAGATTGCAGTTATGTATTTAACGTATATATTTCAGATATATAATTTACCTCTTTATAAATTTTACCTACTTTATATATTTTATCTGCATATATAAATTTGTTTCAATTGTGTGTGCATCCTTCATTTATCAGATTGTAATGGATAATTTAAAAAAAAATTGATTAAATCAAGTTATTTTACATATTTTGTAATATATTTTTAATATAAAAAATATATCGAATGTAATGATAATATATCAACACATATATTAATAATATATAATCTCACACACACACACACACGCGCGCGCGCAAAAAGTATAGTTAAATAAATAAATTCTTATATTTTTGCATTTGCAACTAACACATTAAATTTACAACCATTTACATTTCTTGACTGCACATAAAATTTTGAGACTACATAATTTATTATATTTTAATGTGTGTATGAGAGAGACAGAGACCGAAATAAAAACAGTGCAAAACGTACCATTTTCAAATGTCAATATCTAAGAATGCGGAGAGTTCTAAAAAGTCAGGTTTAATTATCTTTCTGATGAGATTAAATATCGCTTATATGATTAATAAAATGATTGCGTCATCATACCAGCGTTTGTTCATAATTCGTTACGAGAAATGTTATCGAGTAAATATTATCAATTAGTGTTCAATTTGTTATCTTGAGCATCACATTTGTGAGTCACGAAATCATATCCTGTGATTGGTCAATTATATGAAAACGTGTTGTTTACTAAATCGAATTAACGTTGCTGTGTAGACGCAATTGATGAAAGACGCGTTCGAAAATTAATCGCGTGGATAACGAGAACAAGAAAAAAAAAAATATACACACACACACACATAGAAGTTAACATTACCATAATCAATAAAACTGAAAAAAAATTATACATAAAAATTTAATTTAAAAAAAAAAAAAAAATCTAGTATTAACTGAAAAAAAAAAATGTAGTAAATTTAAAATAAACATAATTTTATATTTTCTCACAGCATTGACGAGATCTATAGGAATAGAAAGTTTTGCTCACTGTTACCGTTTGCAATCGATTTACGGTAGCCGATTCTACGATCAATACGTAATAAAGATTAAATAATACCGTTGAAAGTAATTATATTTTATTGATCCTGTATCACCAACAGAGCGTTGCTTTTTCAGAGATAATTATAAACAATGATGGTGTGGCTTGATTGCGAATTAATTAATATATACATCACATATGCTTTCAAATAATCGCTTTCGAATATCCACACACCATTGTGCAAAAAACATAATTAAAAACTCGCACTTTTGGTTACAATAATCCCAACCGAAGTACAAACAATAGATTATAATTTAATATTTGATACTCTCGCGATGTAAGAATTTCTGAAGATATGGTTTTCGGAATTAGCACCATGTGTTAACCCCCCGTTTCATTTTTTCAAATTATCATTTTTATACTACAACGCAACAACATTAACGCGATTCAAAGTTGAAAATCATCTTCAGAAATAAATTATAATAAATAATCAAGCGTGAATTATAATAGTGACGACGAATTAATACAAAATTCCATATTATATGCAAATGTAACGTATACATGAATCGCTTACGTCAATTGCATAAATTGAAAAATGTATGAGGCGCGTGCATATATGTAACCACGCATCGCAAAGCATATTGTTTCTTCTGCGTTTTATTTTTTTTTGTTTGAAAGAAAAAATTTTTTGTCGCAAAAGCAACGGTTTAATTTTCAATTAAATTGCAAAGGGCTGAAAATATAACATTTTTGAGCAAAACAACATCGAATTGTTGGTAGCTAAGGTACGTAATCGACTATGCAGTCGCACTTTCTCTTAATTCTTTCGTAAGCAAATTCTTCGAAAGACCGTTTCATTGCAATTTTATATGATATTAGTATACCATTTAATGCTAACATAATTCTGACAAACATATATTATTACTATAAAGTCAATATATATATATTCTCCATGTTAAATTCAATAGTAATATTATCTCAAAGTATATTATTGGAAAAGTGAAATTTTATTGGCAGAATAAAGAAATAAAAATTGAGATCATAATAATTATGTGACATTTCAACAAGAAAGAGAAATTTTATCGAGAGTCCCTTTTCTATAAAAAAAAAAATTGAACACTGTTGCTAAATGCAAAATCGACTAGAATAAAGAATAAAAATACAATAGCAAGATATTAAATATACAGAAAAGCTATAAAATTATAGGAAAACATTACTTATGTATGAAACACATTTATAAAAAGTCAAATAAAAGTATGTTGAATCGAAAATAAAAGTATAATACCAATATATATATAATACCAATAAATAATTATATAATATAATAGGTGATAAGATACAATATGTAAAACTCAAAATCAATCGGTCAAAACTTCTAGAAAGTTCATTGGCAACAACTAAAAATTGAATATATGTATACACATATACACATATATATATATGTTCAAGATATACCTTCTCTTTCATCGATGAATGTTTAAAAAACTTCACATTTTGAAGAGATCAGACTTGAAGAATTAAATTTCATATTTTATAAAGGCATCCCCCAATCGATCGCTATAAAACGTGACTTTTTTTATCAATCGCCACACATGGTGGCACGCGCAACGCTAAGTGTGTATTCTATAACTATATGACGTATTTTTCCGAATTGTGCTCGCGGTCGTTTCGATTAATCCGACTACAGTACAGAATAGCTGAGCTCGTGTCGGACTCGCTGACAGTTCAATTCGAATAGATTTGCATAAACGTTGAATAACGAACAAACGAGGAAGTTCAAAAATATACGTGTGTTGTGTTTTGAACAATCGCGCAAACTACACAGATACGCGTGTGTATTATTTAATTTAACTATTAAACGTAAGTTTAATAGTTAAAATATTTGCTGTAATATCAATAATTAATAAACGTTTAGATTACATAAATGATTTAATAAAAAATAGAACATATTTACATGTTTGTTTATATACATGTTACATTTTGTGTTGCAAATAATAAAGAATAAAAAATACTGGATTTGTTTAGCGAAAGATCAAATTATTTATCACAGCTTCTTGACAAGTGCGCACACTGATACTTTGCTTTTATTTGGTCAAATTTAATAACACACACTCCGTTCAAGATTTTGTTTCTCGACTAATATCACAGATAAAAGCTCACGTACAAAGCGACGATGTAATTACGGCGTTAGTGTGTTTCGCGTTAGTGTGTTTTGCAGTTTCAAGTTTCAGTCATTTATTTAAATATCAAGGTTATCATAATGCGAAAGTATGTCCGCTCAATTCGAATGATGGTACCGTTAAAAGGAGTGCGCTGAATCTTCATTCACAAGCGGTTTATTTTTAACCAACAAAAGCTACGTGCACATTCCGAACGGTTTACCAAAGCTCTTCAGCAAACAAAACATTGTAAAACTGTTTTTTTTTTTTTTAAATAAATTAAAGAATCATTAAATTTCATATATAAATATACACACATGCAAATATAAACACATATGTATGTAACATTTAATGTTAATTAGCTTTGTAGAAATTGTAAGTCAATGCAGTCGCGCATTTATGTGACAGCTGGTCTCTAGCACACACTTTGTGTGTTACTACAATCTCAGACACACTTATTTTCAGCGCGGTTAACAAATCGACGACGCGGTCCAGCAACATGCTGTTTTAACGTAAGAGAGAAAGCGCCGCGTACGAATGTTCAAATCATTAAGTAGCGAAACTCAATGATTATGACGAAAGTAAAATTTACTTGAAGCGTAAGATTGCATCAATGATCGGTCTCGTGAATCATTCGTGTTTACGGCAAATATGCACAAAATCGATAAATCAAGATCGTTTTCGATTTTGTTTAAAGCTTTTTTTTTTTTTTAAAGAAGTAATAAAATTACAACAGATTACAATAGATTTGTATTCTAGTTTTTGAATTTTAGAATTTTGCTATCGTAATTTATATAAAACTGTTTGTTACAATTTCACGCAGAAGTGACTTATCCGCAAAATTCACCGAACAACAAAACTCCGATTAATTTTTGTACCCAAGTTTTTTTTGATAAAATTCACATCTTTTTAATTCGATTCAAAATATTGACGATAAAATGTCTAACATGTGAAATAAAAATAAGCTACTTTGTATAGTTACTTTGAAATTCCGATAAAATCATCAATCACAGAAATTGTCAATCAGATTTTAATAACGAGAGTTGAGCAATATCTCTCACCTTCGGTGAGAAAAGAAGAATTATACGAGGTTTGAAATGTGCTGGTTCGCCCAATGCTGGTGTGTGTGTGTGCGTGAAAGGAATTCCGGCCTCCGATGACAACTTTTTTGGGGATGAAGATCTTTGCGTGATCTTGAAAAACTAGGTCAATCGGATTTCTGGTGGCCGTACCAGTTACGAAGAGAAGTAGACGGAAGAAGCGTGTTTTTCCCGTTATCCCTTCGTGAACTGACTTCCAAAAATGCCTACTAGTTGGACTGAGTTGGTGTGAGAGTTTGTGAGACCCACGCGAATTTAAAAATTAAATATCTTTGCGAAAAATCAATATTTTTTAAGTTTGTTTTTTTTTTTTTCAATCTTAAGTTTGAACAATTCTGTCGCTCAAAAAAAAAAAAAAAATTGAAAAAATCTCTAGTAGTTTCAGACGTTTAAAAAGAGAAAACTAATTGTCACGCCACAGAGACACGTTGGATTTTAATTCTTGGAGCGAGGTCTGGAAAACTCATATATCAGAGTTCTGCGAAGAAATTTTTATGAATTTTTTTTCGCGGTATTCCTACCTCGCGCATATATATATCTCTCTCTCCGTTTTCTCTCGTCGCAAACACACCGATCGATTGCAAAGCGCGTCACAACTCTTAACCTCAAAGTACAAACGTTTAGAACGCCGGTACACGCGCGCGTGCACGTTTCGTCAATCGTGCAACTCTCTCTCCCGTTACACGTACAACAACCCCCGTATATGGATTTTATCAAAACGGGTTACACCCACCTGGTGTAAGGCGTTCTTATCGTTTCTCGCGGCCACGGCAATCCTCCTTCTTTTCCGTCCACTTCCAACTTGTGCTCGCCGAGCACCCTTCTTCTTCCACGTAGAAGAGGCACCAAGCAGCCGGCGGTGGCGGCTCGTCGACAACTACGTGATCTCGCGTACAGCAACACACCCCACGGCTATCGTCGTTTCTCCTCCTGTCACCTGAGCGTGCACATAAACGCCGCGGCACGCGACCGACGCACCACTTTTCGCGCTCGAAAAACTTTAATTAAACGCGGAGGCAACAACCTCCTCCTAGGCGCCTCTTTCTCTCCTTCCGTGATCGTCGTTTAATTCTCCGACTAAGCGGCAGTGGCGTTTAACGCGGTCGTTTTTCGTGCTTCCCGCGCTCCGCACGATTCGCGAGACAACGATGAAGTACGCCAAGAGCGGTCACGTCTGCGAGTGAATACTCAACGGAGGAGATATATACGTCGTTTGTCGCGCCGCTTCCTACCACCGGTGCGTCTCTCGGTAAACACGAATATAAAACGTTCGATTGCCGTTAAGTCGCGAGAGTTTTGCTTCACCGTAGAGCGGCGGCTCGCGTCGTCATCGTCGTCCGCGCTTCTTTCTGCTCCTTTACACGTCGTTGTTCCGTACGCGGTGAACGACGTACGAAAGGGGGAGGCGAAGCGGAAGAAGCAGAACGGGAGACACGGATGTGTGTGTGTGTGTGTATGAGCGCGCACACGAGTGAGGAACGAGATGTGTGCGAGAGAAGGCGAGAGAGAGAGAATAATGCCACCACCTCTATATAAGCTCACACACGCGGTCACGCTCGAGCGACGACACAATCCCCGCCTCTCGACACCGACACCTAACGTCGTCGTCCACTGGCGTCCGTCCGCTATCGTCGACGGTTTTCTTGCTGCCCGTGCCGCCGTCGCTACCCGTTTTGCTCATTCGCCCGCTAGGCGCGTCGAACGTACATACACTTGATTGTTTTCCCTTCTCCCCGCTACGCCCTACCACTATCTCGTCGCTGATGTCTGTCGCCATCGTCGTCGGCCCTCTTCGTCACTCTCCCGTCTTTACCGTTGCGCTCTCCTCGATAGATATCAGTGCAATCTCTGCTCTGCTTGTCACCACATCCTTTATCAGCTTTTGTTTCCCTTCCCTCTTTTACCATCGTGTGTTCTCCTCTCGCGGGTTGCACGCGCTTCCGCGTTAGCTTCGTTATTTGGCTACGTAAATTTTTTCCTTTCTTTTTTTTCCTTTTTTTTTTAATAACAATAAGATTGTATAGAAAAGGTCTTTTTAGAGCCGAGTCTCGAAATATTATTTTCGTTTATTTAAATCGTAATTATTGTTAGACAAAATAAAAACAACACCGGTGCGACGAGAAAATTGAATACGTAACACATAGAGCTTCGGGCTCGTACTCGTAGCAGGACGAGGCACGTGTGTCGTAAAAGAGGCGCTATCTGACGGTGCGCGGCTCAATCTGTAGGTAGGTTCGTCGGAAAGCAAAGTTGCGCAAAGTTTGCCTGATCTAAGGGGGAATCTGAAAACAATTTATCTTTTTTTTTTTCAATTTTTATATATGTTTTATATACTATATTATATATACATATACATATGTATGTATATATAAAATTATTTACACAAGTGTAAATTATACAGATTTTTTATTTATATAAATATGAATCTGTGCATAAATATAATATGTAAGATACGAAAATTTGATTACCGTATGTGTAATATGTTTATGTGGACTTAAAAGAAAAAAAGTGAAACTGCCTCTTTCTTTCTCTCGTGCAATCATTACGTCACAGATCTTTCGTACATATATTTACGCGTGTTTCTGCAAAGCTCTGTCTTAAATCGCGATTTATTATATAATTGGCCGTATAATATTGTTTATTATTTTAGTTGACGAAGCTTGATAAAAATTTCCAGATTTTAAGAAATTATGCAAAAAAATTATAAGTTTTTATATATCGTCACTCCCTACGTATAATCCCGTAACTCCAAAACGCAAATTTTAGAGGAGAGCAGTTTAAAAGTATAAAGTTCTTCATATGTTTCCCTATAGTTAGGGATCTTTCGGTTTCAAATTTGTACCTTATTTATGAATTTTTTTTTTTAATATCTGGTGACCATAAAGAACATGACTTTCTAAGTGTCATTATGCAATAAACTGAAAATCCCATATGTGACACTTATGTAATTATACGTAGGGAGTGACGATATGTACAAAGAAGTTTTCAAAAACTTTGATAATTTGGGAGAACTTCTGTCTCCCATCACCGATGAGGAAAATAATTCACATATTTATCTAAGATTTTTTATCCAATCTAATTCTTTGCGCGAGGAGTTGCAGAAATATTTTTTTTTTTTAAGGAGATAGAGATTTCAGTTTTTTTAACGGGCAATCCTACTGTGTATTCAGTACGTATGTATATGTATTGAATTGAAAGTCATTATATATCATAAATCAAATCAGATTTTTATGACACGCCGTCACTTTTTTCTCACTTCTTCGGCAAAATACACAAGTTCGTCGCCCGTCAAGTTCGCCCGTGAGATCAAGAGAGAGAGAGAGAGAAAGAAGTGAATCCGCGGGGCTACCTCGGAAAAGAGAGCAGCCACCGTTCTACGTAACAGTCTTCTTATGATATTATGCAAGTCGCGATGTGTGTCACCGATGGTGTACATATCGATGCCGGTTACAGCGATGGCGGTCAGCGAAAGTGATCTCGTGCAACAATCCACTTCAAATGGGATAGCTAGCTACGTATTTTATTTCAACGAGACTTGATTCTCTTGACCTTACATCTCGGCAACCAACCCTTCAACTTTCTGAATTTTGTTTTTTGCATTTTTTTTTTTTTTTTTCATGAGAGAGAAAGAGAGAAATGAGGGAATCATTTATTATCCTAACAATCTGATTTCTTGACAAAAGATTCAAATAATAATGTTCGCATTCTCTTCGGTTTTGTCTTACAACCGAATTACACACAATTGCAAAAGTCACAATAAAATGACGTACGTCATCTACCGAATTAACGCGAAAGAAATATGTAAACGTGTTCAAATTGTTGAATTTTAATTCTCAGTCAATACAAGATGACGGCATCATACATATTACTCTGACTACTTGCGGACATTCTGAATTGTCAATAGTTTTATATCTTGTTAATTATGACACTTTCAAGGATTCCGGGAAGCAGTAGCACATGGAAACATATGCTAATAGACGTATGATAAGTGTTTTTTTGTATTTTAAATTTTCAACTTAAATTTTTATTCAACGAATATCATTGTTCGCAATGTAAGATTTAATAAATGCATAAAATAAATGGACAAAAGAATTACTTAAAACGTTAACTACACACAGAAAAATATATTATTCTATTTCTATAAGAAAAATAAGTACTTCGTTTATTTTCTTTTTTTTAAGTTAATAGTTAATTTCAACAAAGAATGTTTTCTTGACAATAATCTTACAATATAATTCATTATAAATTTTTGAAAAGTTTAGTATTATGTGCTTGAAAGAAGAATATGTTATCTTTTCAAGAATGTTGTAAAACTTTATTTCGGAAAACACGTAGATCAGGTTAATTTGAATATTTGAAAATATAATAATGCAAGAAAAGTCATTAGGTTAGGGAAAACAAGTTCAATAAGTTTCTTTCGATGCAACTTTAAAAAGAACAATGCGAATATTCGTTTGATCGGTGTAACAAAAAGATCCAGTATCGTCTTAACTATAATTTAATGATAACATATTCGACGCTTATACATATATAGGTCAACATCAAATCAACATAAATTATTTAAGTAATTATTTAATTATATAAGTTTCTTTCGATATCATGCAACTTTAAAAAAAACAATGCGAATATTCGTTTGATCGGTGTAACAAAAAGATCCAGTATTGTCTTAACTATAATTTAATGATAACATATTCGACGCTTATACATATATAGGTCAACATCAAATCAACATAAATTATTTTTTTGCAACACAAGAACCATGACTTGCGAGACATTTGATATTCGCGCGATCAAGAACCTAATAAGATGCGAAGAAAATGATTTTGTGGAAATACATATACGTACAAACATATATTTTTCAGAACAAAAAAGAAATAAAAAAACCTCTTCGTTAGATATTCACTAGATATCTAATGAGATTTTTTATTTTAATTGGAATATAATAGCCACACAGAACAAAAACTCCATTAGACATACATTTGACGTCAAAAGATCTATGCGATATTTAAAACTCCATTAGATGTCTAATGGAGTTTTTGTTCTGTGTGGTATATCTCTTGTATATGATATTTTTTAATAAAATTATGTGAATGTATTTGTTATATATTAATAATAAGTAGTTACACTTTTATGTGCGCATATATTGAGTGTAAGTTTTTTACCAAATTATTTTCAACAATATTATTTATAAACTTAGATTCGTACTTATATATAATATAAAAACAACGAGTAAGTTTACAGCCATACTTAACTGTAACGTATAACGCGTTACGGGAGAGTTTTTGTGTGCGGTGGATCTGAAATGACTCAAAACACACTACCGTCATTACCGTGTGCTTCTTGATTTTCTTTTTCTCTTTCTAACTCACACTTTTCATCTTTCTTTCTCTTTTTTTCTTTCATCGTGCGCGGATCTCACGACGACCATGAAAACGTGAATTTCTCACTGTCAAAACGTGATTGTCAAATATCTCCGATTGGAAGACGCAAACACGAAAAACGCAAAAATACTTTTTTTAAAAATGTTTTGTTCTGAATCGATTGAGACTAAAACAAAATTGATCGATTTAGTCGTTATCGAAATAACCTACTCTACTCTCCCTACTAATACCCTACTCTCTTCAAATAGCTAAATCTCGCGTAATACAGGCACGGCGTGCGCTTCGCCCCGTTTGCGCGCGAACTTCGTTGCGCTTGAAACTTGGCGCGTGGCACTACCGTGACTCTCGATATAATATGCGATATAAAAAATGCAATATAAATATACTCGCAATGATCTGTCAAGTCACGTTGCACGGTTAACGAACAAATACAAATAATACAAATTAATATGGTTAAATAGAGAATGTTTTTTAGAATCAAACTTTTGTATAACACATTTTTTGTGATATCTCTAATAATTTTTGAGATAAATTGAGATAAAGTAAAAAACTGCTTTACATATGAGAGGTAATTTCACCTCTTAAAAGAATGCTGAACAACGAGTGACCTTCGATTCAGCTGTCACTCAGCCGCTACGCTGTCGAGTGAATGGTGTCATCCCTCGGGACCGAGTCGGATCAAAGGATAGATGACATGAGAGAAATAAGGACAGGCGTATGTGTCTATTCGGCGCTTCTTTAAAAAATTGTACGAATCTTAGTTCAAAGTTTTTTTGTCTCACAAGGCTTCAAAATCCTTTTTTGAAGCACTCAAAATATTTGTTTAGGTTTCTAGTTTTTTATAACGGTATTTTTTTGGATTAATTCAAGTAATAAGCTAGGTGTTTGAGCAAAATATTTTTTATAGTTTTTGTTTTTTATTTATTTTAAATTGTCACAATAATAATTTAAGTGAATTTAATTTCGAAATTCATCTAAAATGATTAGTTTTCATCACAAATAAATGATGAAATATCCAATTTACTTTCCCATAAAAATTAAAAACTCCATTATAAAAAAGACACTTTGACCGTCGAATTCGAATCTCCCGCATTCTGTGCAAACGTCTGATTTATATAACTAAATTACTCTTCGTTAGTTTGATACTATAAAATGAAATATGTTGTAATGTCTTGGTGGCCCAAATAGGGAAGACATTTGCACCAAATGCGGGAGGAGATTCAGACGGTCAAAGTGTCTTTTTTTTGCAATAGAGTTTTTACTTTTTACGGAAGAGTAAATTGAATAATTCGTCTATTATACAACTCGATCTATTATACAAAAATTTAATCGCATTTATTATGGTATATGTAAGTTATTTCCGTCAATTGCAACTAGTTACAAGCTTAGGTTTTAATCCGGTGGCTGTTTTACATCGCGTCTTGAGAGACTTTCACCATATGTGTACTTTCACTATTGAAAATTAGCACCGGCTGTTTCGTCCATTCTCAGGCGAAAGACGCGCGCGATTGGACTGTTATTTCGGGCCGATTGAGTAAGAATTTCTTACTCATCCTAAAGAATGCAATGTCAAACTACTTGTTTAGCGTATTTTCAGAGTTACTCAATTTGATACTGTCAAAAAAAAAAAAAACTATCTATTTCATCTTTTACATCTGTTTTTTTTTCGAATGTACGTGACATATTCGATAAATGTTGATAATTAAGGAAAATAAAAATTATTATAATATTATAATATTTTACAACGAGATATTTGAAAGCTCGTGATAATGTTCAACTTAGATTTAAAGAATATACATACAACTTTATGTGCCAGATGTGTACATATATTTTTTAAACGTGTAATATATGAACATTTGAATTAAATTCAATCTGAAAAATCATTTTCTAAAAATATAATTTTATTTTTGCACTTGATGGCCGAATTCGAAAGGCGTTTGCATTCGGGATTTGATTTCAGACTATCTTTTTTATATTCGATTTTGTAAATTTTATAAGAAAATAAATTGAGTATTTTACATATCTGATGCAATCCAAGTATCTTAAATAAATTTTTTTTTAATTTAAATTTAATTTGAATCTTTATGTGTATTAATTTGTACGTGCAAAAACTACAGGATGACCAATGAGAATATGTTAAAAAGTAAATGGTTATTACTTTGCAACAAATAGGCCAAACAAAATAAATAAAACGCCATTGTAAGTTAGAATTGTCAGAGAGATTATATGTATATATATTTATAGATAATTCATTTATAAAAATAGATTTTTAACTTCTGTCTAAAAATTTAAATTTTTAAATTTCTGTATTTTCTCTCTAAAAATTAATTTTTGCTATATTTTCTTTTATATTTTACAATAACGATTTGTTTCATATAATGTCTTCTGATTAAAAAATTTTTATTTTTGACTTAATTAAAAATTGAATCAGTTGGAAACACAAGTTACTCGAACTTTAACGTGAGAACTTGAAAAAATAAAACAGATCTGCCGATTTTATCGCAAGTGGTTAATGTTTGTTCTTGACTCATATATCGGTAATGTAAATTACTGCAAACGTGACTGTAAAAAATATAGATACTATAGTTTATCCGGTAATGCACACAGCGTCAAATATCGATATTACTCGGACAGCACGGAAAGGCTAAAAGACATTTAAAAGATGTTTAAAGACAATATAAGAACATTATAAGACGTTTTTAAGACGTTTTTAAATTACCATTTAAAGACATATGCTGTCTGGATACAAGAGTTATATACAATAGATAATATGTACTATAAGTCAATATTGAAGATTTCTAAAAACTTTGAAACAAAACATAAGTTTTCTTATATATTTTATTCTTCAGTTTACTTATTAATAGTAGTTATTAATATATTTTATTTTTTGTTACTCATTTGTTTACTCATTTATTAATATATATATATATATCTACTTATAGTACATCTAATATAGTCGAAATTTTTCATGTGAGAATCATGGTAGCAGCGGTGAGATATTAATAAAATAAAATAAAAACAATTTTATCTTTTATTAAAAATATAAAATAATACTATGATATAATCAGAAGTAATAAAGGTTTTGTCGGATAATATTTTTTTCAATTTCAATATATTTATATATATATATATATATTTAATATAATATATATTAAATATATTTGTTCCATATTAAATTTTGCTTGAAACTCATTCAAGAGATATTTTTAATTGCTGTTTTTTTTATGGGTGGATATAACAAAAAATTTGGAATGTGAAAAAAATTATACAAAAATGAACACAATTTGATTTAATATTTAATTTAATTGTGAGATTAACGTTTTATTATTTTGATAACCTCGTTATTTCATATCTACTCTGTTTTTATTTCTTACATTAGCATCTATACATGTATAAACACACTTATGCATACATACACACAAATATACGCGCAATATCAAAAAGTCTTTTGTACAAGTGAGATTCCGCTTTGAAACACTTACAGAAAACTCTGAGAGAACTTATTTACCAGGATTGGGTAGTGTCTAGTTAAAAAGACAAAAGTTAAGATAAAAAGTTAAATAATTACAACTTAGTTACATTTTTAGAATCTTACTTTTTAACTTAATTTAGTTACATTTTATCGGTAACCGTTAACTTTTTATTTCAATTCTCTTCAAGGTAGCCGTGCCATAAGATTTTGATCTTCACGCAAAATTGTTCGCATACAAAACGAACCATATATTTCGTCGTATGACCATAGTTCGATCGTATACTTATTATAGACTGAAAAATTCGAAGCCAATCACAAAGCTCAGAATGAGCTCGTTTTGTATGCGAATAAATTCGTACGTGTTCGAGAATTGAACCGATAGCGATAGAAATAACACCAGAGTTTTAAAGAGTTTATATTTATAAATAACAGTGTATAAGAACACAGCGAAATCTAACGTACAAAAATACACATGTATCAATGCGGATCAGAAAACGGAATAAGCAATAGCGATAAAATTTCCGACGAGTTGGAATTCTGTGTCTATCGCTATCGCTATTCCCTTCGCATTGTGCAAGGGGCTTTACAGTTGTGAGACGTTTATAAGATGCGTTCCGTTTCATGCGCACATTTATCCATAGTATACGTTACACATACTGTAGATCATGCGCGCTTATGAATAAAAAAAACGGAACGTGTCTATTGCACGCTGCAGCGGAAGAGCGAATGCGCAACAGCAGCAAGAATCTTGCTCGAGCAAGATCTTTAACTTCAACTTATAACTCAGTTATAAAAAAAAAAAAAAAAAAACATTTAACTTACCCAACCTTCTTACTTAGATTTCAACCTTCGCGAAGGTAAACCAGTACGTACAACCTGTTCTGCGATGATTCGCAGCAAAGGTATGCTCGATGTACGCTTGTTATATAAACAAAACCGATGAAGTAATCGAAATATCTTCGAATAAAAGAAAAATTTATTTGAAGTTTCGATTGTCAATAAATACGCGATTTCTGAGGCCGCTGTCCGAGATATAGCCGGTGGCCATTCTATATTGGTTCGCGTATATCGCGCCTTTCTCATTGACGCTCTCTTTAACGTCGCTTACAGCGGCCTGCTCGGTTTGATGCTTCTCGCACTTGTTGTCCTTCGACGTCTGCATGTCTGACAATTTTTTCAAATTCTTTTTTTTATACGCTTCAAAATAAAAATCGCGGAAAAGAAAGTAAAACATCACGGCATGGAGGCCAATGATCCATACAAAGGCCTTCGGATAGTTGCAGTCGATAAAAAGCAGTTGGAACGCGTGGATCATTACAAGAACGAACTGGATCATTTGCAACGTCGTCAAATATTTCTTCCACCATAAATACGGCTGCAATTGTGGTCCAAGCGCCGCCAGGAAATAATACGAGTACATCACGATGTGTACAAAAGTGTTTAGAAAACCGAAGAAACTACTGTGACCACCTAGAATAAAAAATCATAGATTGTAAGCTCATCATTTTATGAAGTAAATATTCAATACGTGCTGTTTTCTTAAAAAAAAAAAAAAAAATGCAGAAACTGATCTACTCGAATTTACTGGTTCCACTATACTTGTGCCTATATATGTTAGCTTTTATAAACAAGGTGATATATATATATATGCATATATATATATATACACACACACATATATAATAACGACGATAGAATGTCGAATTGAACACTCACCGGGAGTGAATTTAACTCCAAACCAGACAGATAGAGGCATGATTCCGTGATGGATGACGTGGAGAGTGGAAATGTGATCGTTCTTCTTTCTCAACACAAAAAAAGTTGTATCTGCAAACTCGGTAAACTTAGAGACGTAATACCACCAACAACCGTGCGCCATGCGCACTGCTATTGGATTGTACGAGTAATCGACCGGTTGACACTTAAAAGAATAATGTCCTCCCCAACCGGATACCCAAGCCTGTGGAAAAGAAATCAGAATATCTCTTTGACGAGTATTTTTTTTTTTTTTTTTTTTTCACATCCGATAGTAAATATATGTGCTGCCGAACAACTTACTTCGCGAAACAGCCATATCGAAAATATCACTTGAAACAAATTGTACCACAGCATTACTTTTCTGCAATCGAAAGGCTTTCGATTTTCCATCAGTTTTGGTCCCAATACCTTGGAGAAATAAGCATAGAACAGGCAAATCGCTAGCGTGGGAAACGGACTGCTCATTAGTAACCAGTCGTTGACTCTTGGATCGCTCTTGTTGTCCATTAGATCCCGGTAAGCATCGTAAATTTTTCCTATCAATTCCGTCATCTAAAAGCAAAGTAATATATCGTGTTATTCATTAAAAAAAATTATTTGTGATAACAAAGATATGCGATTTTATCTAATTACGGATATTTTTCTGCACAAAAGAAGAAAGAAAAAGATATTATTGCGATTTAATGCTATTTTGTTGTTAACTTTTATCGTAAATTGTAATACATGTATTGTTCGAGATAAATGACTATTTTATTATAATACTTGAACAACGGGATTTTTATATATGTACAGTTTTAAGAATGCACAGTAATCGTTACAAAAGTAGAAACTGGTAGAGCATAATTTTTCATATTATAATATATAATTTATATATATTATATAATTTATATATATAATTTATAATTGAGTGTCGTTAATAAGAAACTTATTGAAAACTGTGGATACTACTGACTACGAGATTTGATAGCAAAATAAGTGACTTCAAAGAACTTAAAAAAATATCAGTCTATAACACAACAATTTAAATGAGTAAAACTTTGAGAGAGAGAGAGAGAGAGAAACATACTGAATACACAAAGAAGTTTTATATTTTTTTTTACACAAAAGAGCAAATTTGCAACAATTTTGATCAAGTTTTGTATTCTGATACGATTATAATGTACAAAATATAAAACAATGTGCAACAAAATGTGCATATGTTAAAACAAATTAGAATCAACGGATTTAAAAATAATTGAGTAATCATCGCGTTGTGACTCCTTTAAGAGTAAAACTTCCTACTATGATAATATCATTGAAGTATTTTTCACTTGCGTGTTTGCACCGCGCTAACACCGCGATTAGAACAAACGGTGTCTTGATAGACCTTCTACAATCGCGGATTGTTGACCGAGTTCTTTGCGAGGCACGCGACTCGCAAAGAACTCAGTCTTGATTTGTCATACGAGTGACAGTTTAAGGATCTACGGATCGCCGTGACTTTCTCCATTGGTGACGAAAGGTCAAATCCTTTTATCGAGTAAAGCTAGTTGAAAATGACGTATAAATAAAAAATAACATTGCTTGTTTTTTCTTTAATGTCGTCTTGCAAAACCGCGTCTTCGTGCCATTTACGACAGTCTATGAATGAAGTATGAACCTAAGTTTTTCAGCCTTGAAAATGTCGTCAAACTTCGAAGGCTATATATCGTGTTTTACGTGTCTTTTGTAATTCATCGCGGTGGATCAAGAAGATAGATTTTGCCACAAGAAACGTGACTCTTTTTATTTCTACAATACTAAGGTTTTCAAAACTCTTACACACACACGTATAGAAAAAACGTGATTTCTTTTAACGTGATTTCAATGATAAAATAATTTTCATAGATGGCACGCGCAGAAATTCCAGTAAACATCGCAAAAAAAAAAAAAAAAAAAAAAAATTTTTTTCTTCTAACCGCACGATTTAGTGCACTCTTCCATACATAAAGCCATATCCAGTGATACAAAAAAAAAAAAAAAAAAAAAGAACAAAGTTAAGTGAGATGATTATCGAACGTGTTGATACGGGATTAAATAAGAAAATAAGACTGCAGCAGCTTGTAATCTCTAACTCAGTTTTTTTTTTTTTTTATATACAACTGGACTTTGCTCTACACACATATTATAATTATTATAATTACCATGACTTATTTAATATAATATGCCGAATTGATTATCGTAAATGATTTTATCTCATCACTATAGCATTCTGGAAAAATAACTATGCTTTTGACGCGTTAAATATATGTTAATATTGACATTATATGATCTATGACATAAAAGCTGATTAAAACGTGTGTACATATGTTCTTGTAGTAGCGCACAACATTAGCGCACGACACTTTTCTTTTATTATATTTACATTTCTCTAAACAATATTAATATCAGAGAAACGAGAAGTAACGAATTGAATTTGTTTTTTGCAATTTGCTCTGGACAATAGATCAATTTTTCTGAAATATGTATTTCTTTATTTTTTGTTCCTTTTAGATTCAACAAATATTTATAAATCTTAAATTTGATAAAATTTGTTGTTAGAGAATATACAACAGTTTAATTTATATGTTTTTTTTTATAGATGTTACAATTTTGTGCCATTAAAAATCGACAGTAACATATTAGAAAAATTAATATTTAATTAATTAATTAAATACTTGTTCTTTACTTCGAATTGTAAAACAAAAAAAATTACATTTTTAAGTTCTTTTTGATTCAAACAAATCACTACTTAGACTTTTTTCTGTCGTCATTTACCGTGCTAAAATGGACTGTTTTATTATTAAGTTTTATATTATTTTTATTATTTTTATTATTATGCGTTCCTTTATATCTATGATTTTGTTATTTTTGTTTTTTGTATCTAATTGTAACTGTCATCCGAATTATGTATATCTATGTAGTATCCACACTGAAGATTACTTAAATGTAAGTCGAAACGTTTGGAAAAAAACTGATATTTGTATCACCGTTACTACATCACATCCTGCAATTGGTTCCAATTGTCCATCTCTTCCTTCATTGAATTTTTATTCAGGAATCGGAGGTCATTCTCAACGTTGCTACTGTATAAATTACATATACTTCTCGTCACATTTAAAATATATACGACGAGAAAGAAATTAAACTCTCTTTCTCAGAGAATTCCGATGAAATAAAAATAGTTTTAAAAAGATACATTCTCACTTAGTTTATTTTTTTTTCGCTTTTTTTACATACAAATATCCGATTCTTACATATAAATATCACATTAAGGAAATGTCCGTTTTAAACTTACTCTTTCTTCAATGTGATATTTATAATTTATAAGAGTGGTATTTATAATTTATAAGAGTCTCTTGATATTTAATATTTATAATTTTTATAAGAGACTCTTTTCTTATAATGTGATATTTATAATTTATAAGAATCAGTTTAAAACTGAGTTTCTTAACTCAGCAATATTACAGAAAAAAAAAACAGGTTTTAGTCGAACTATGTAACGCCAACACTTTGTGCGCGTTGAGCAACTTGCTACAATTTTACTGAAGTATCGGATAACGACGAAAGCCCGGAAATTAGTAATTACCAAATGTAACAAACGCACACTAGTAAGCCAAAAACGTTCGCTTTTTATGATCTAGCAATTTCACGCAGAGTGATAGGTAATTGGTAAGGAGCAACGATTTCAAAACCGGCAAATCTTGTTTCCTCAAGGTTGATTCGATTCACTGTTCCTTTGTCAGAGTCGCACGGTTAATTCGACGTTGTTTCTTCGTCGTCGCATTCTCGACGAAAAAATGTTCAATTAAAATAAACGCGCGAAGATAATGTGTCTTTCAACTTCCACGAAAACAATATTCGTTTCATTTCGCGAAAAAACCTAAACCGAACGATCCTACTTGCGCGCCCGCGCAAATGTCGTAACGCGCGATTGCCGTGAAAAGGAAAAGTGTGGTCACCAAAGAGACTACATACACCTGAGAACTCGTTTTCTTGCTGCGTAAAAATGCGGTCTCCTATTCTATCGTGGTCAAGCGATATACTCGTCTTGATAGTCTTATTTGCTAGCAAGACTATATAAAACGTGCATAAATCTGCGAAAAGATGACTAATTGCCGATTACTACCAAAGATGCGTAATGATCATAGGCGCCAGCATTCGTGTCACAGTACAAGTTTCATATTTTTTAGCTCATATAAGATGTCAATTAACAGACGTAATTGGCGCGTCGAATATAAATCGTATCTCTAACCGAGAAATTGAAACAAAGAATGAAATTATTTACAAATTAATATAACAAAAGAGATCAAATTTTCGAACCAAAAAACAAGATATTTTTAATATAATAAGGAAATACAACAATCTTTAAAATAAACATAGAACCGCGAAATATATTTCGACTCTGACTTGAGTCTTCTTCAGTCGCAAAAAAATAATAAATAAATAAAAGATAATAAAAGTCATAGAGATGGTCGGAAAATAAGAAATAGTCGCAATGTATAAATAAGTTAAATAAGTTACAAAAAGGCGATCGTTGGTCATTCATATGAAGCAGTGTGTTAAAAAACGGAGAGTAGTTAGTCCGTGGTAAGTAAAAAAGATATTATTATTATCTTACGAATGACAGCCTATAGATTAGCTTATAGATTACTGCTACTCAGTAGTTGCACCGCAAGAATAAATTAATAACAAATAACTTGGAAGCGTGCAGTCAAATGGAGACAGAGATAAGAGACAAGAGATTTACACAGTTGATCTCCCACTTGAAATTATTTTTTAATTAAGAAAATAAAAAAGCAAAAGAAGAGTTCTTATAAAGAGCCCATCTTATAAGAGCAATTTTTTAATTCAATTATTCATAAAATTGATACACGAAACATTACGTAAAATATTATTTTTACTTTTTTATTGCAAAAATATTTACATTGTCGAAAGAAAATATATGAATTGAGGTGAGATGTTACAAAATTTCGCGTAATCACGTGCCATTAATACAAAGTAACGTTCTTGTAACTGGCAATCTCAGTTTCTTCGACAAGATGTAATATTTAACAAATTTTCTTAATTATAGGTTGTTCTTACTTTCTTCTATCTTGTATAAGTGATCTGTCGCACAAGAAAACGTGCAATAGATACCGCTGCCACAGTTAACTCGATCGTCATAAATATTTCTGCTAAAAAAACGTCTCGGAACAATTTCCCGCGCAACAGACAATCCAATGTTGCAGCTAATTTTTTGAACAGTTATTTTCTCAAACCTTGTCCGATTGTATAATCGAACAATCTCTATATCTCATCGTGAGTACAGAAAATATACACGTGGAAAAGTTTTGTAAACTTTTTCAACGAACGATTATAAATATGTAAAAAATTTACATTGCAATAATCATCGTACAATTTCCGCATTACAGTCGATAATTGGTTTTTTATGCATATACATAACAAGTTGACATTTTTTTTTTTATTTGAGCGAGAAATATATATTTTTTTCGAAGAATCAGACAGACAGGTTTTTTTACAAATGCATAAAAAAACGATAAAATGCGTATAGAATCTCTTCAAGACGCATTTTATAATACATTTCGAATCGTGGCTGCCTTTTCGTCGCTGCTTCTCTTAAGGTTTTCCCCCAATATCTCTCTTGGATTTTAAATATGACAGAAGCGACAATGTACTCTGGATTCTACGTGTGATGGAAACGGATTTTGCGTTTGCACAGAAATATTTGTTTATTTTTAATAAAGTGCATTATAAATAAACTTTGGCGATTTTTCTTGATCTTTCTCGTTTCTAACGTCATAAAATCAAAGATGACGAGGTAACAAAGAGTCTTGAGTATCTATTTGCTTGGCGAGTCAAGTTTGCATCTTCTCCGCATTAAACGAAAGTAAACTGCGACGCCTTTGCCTTAAGGTAAGGTATGCGCCTTTGATAGTCTGCGTGCTATTGCGTCAATTCTCTCTCTTTTTTTTTTTTTTTTTTATTATATACGATGATTTTACACGACTAAAAAGCAATTCACTTGTAGTGTGCTAAACAACAAATGTGAAGGTCGCGATAGTTCCGTTTGCGTTTCAAGATTTATAAACAAATAGGTGGACAATAATAATTTAATAGATACATATATTGCATACTTTTAGTCATAAGTTGCAATTTCATTCTTATAATGAATTGTGGAAGGAAACAGAATAATTCAAGTCTCCTTTTTATGACAATGATTTACGATTATTCATTAAGATTGATGTTGCGATATAATGTATACGCAACGTCATATAAACGATTTAAACCAATTAACACATAAACGATTAAAAGTACCAATTAACATATAAACGATTTAAAGAAAACCAATTAACACTAGAACCACCGGCTAGTCAAAATGACTTGTTTTAAATTTTTATTTACTCATTTTATAAATTTTTATTTATTCATTAGAGAATATTATTTAAAGAATATTAAAATATTCAAAACATGACGCATAGATAGCGACAGTAACATCATACTGCGCTGTTGTCGGTGACAAGTTTCACACTTCAGAAAAACAAATGTCAAACATTGGCTTATTATTGCCCGAAGCGTTTGTGTCAGAATGTAGCCACGGCATTGATAATTGTTGCTAAAGAAAAAAATCTATACCTATTACACTATTTCTCTTTAAGGATACTTCACTTTTGTTTTTATAGTCAGGTATTTACAGCTTTTAATGTTTTTTTTAAAGATGAAATCACACAGTTCAAGACAGAAATATAGCAACTATTCAACCACACAAATTCGCGCTAAAGAAATCCGGAAGTGATTTTGGTTTATTTTGTGTGTTTCGTGTGATAGGTTTAAACTTAAATCAGCCGTCTTTTTCAAAATGATTGAAACGATAACGTCTGCAATAAAGCAATCAAGTAACAGTATCAAATATTCATGTAGGTCTTTTAATTGCTGAAGTCAGCTGTATAAAATAAATGGATAATATGTAAATTAACAAACTTTAATGTATTCACATGTTCTGACTATATTTTAAGTGTTTATCAGTTGATGTAATACGTGATAAAATAGTTTTAGACAACTTGTTTACCAATTTTAAGAAAAATTAAATGACTTAAATCAGTAATTGACATTGTAATCAGTAATTGAAGTTGTATAGAGTTTTTGACATATACAATAAAGCTCGCTATCTTTCACGTTCACGCTGTTCTATTGCATTTAAATTTTTTGTTACATTTTGGATATTAGTCTTATAAAATTATTTGGTTTATTATCTAAAACTTGCACGAATTTGTTAATTCTTTTGAACGATATTACGTAGAACTTTTATGAAATTTGATTTTCAGTTTTGGACTTAGTGTTGACAAAATTTTATTCGTGACAGTATTTATATTAGTTTTAAGAATTTTGCAAAAAATTTTAACATTTTAATGTAAAAATCATTTAAAGCGAAAGAATGAGAACTTTACATTGTTGAATACTTTCGTCTTAAAATAATTGTTAATTTAAAGTGTATGTTTTTATATTTTTATATTTTTTGTATTTTGTTCATGATTTGTTTGGAAAATCTCTGCTATTTATTTTACATAATATTTTATAACGTATCGTATTAACTGATGAAGACTTAAAATAAAAGTCGAAACATAATGACAAACTTGATACACTGAAGTTTATTACATTAATTTTGCATAATATCTCTATAAATTCGTCGAATTTATATATTTATTATTACGAACTCAATATGATATTTCAATTTTATCTTAGTTTTTAAAACAAATACATACATTAATATGATAATAATCATTATTTAAGAAAAAGAGAGAGAAAGAGAGAGAGAGAAAATAAATAGAACGTTTGTTGATAAAGAAATGTGTGAATATTTAACAAACAACTAGGTACGGATTTTGCACGTGGGACGCGCAAAATCGCGTTAATACTCACTATGTCGCTGTGTTAACGTTGTTATCTCGATATAAAATCGTCGTGCGTTAAAACGTTTCAGCAAATCACCACAAACACTTGACGATTGGATTCTCGAAATATTTGGATTTGGTCACAAAAACGATATAATATATACATATATATAAAGAAAATAAAAAAAAAGTAAAAAAATCGGTTAAATATAAATCCAACAATAAGTATGAATTCGAATAAGAGCAAGCACCTCTTCTGCGAGCTACCTATCGGCAAACTGACTTCGCCGCTACTATCACATGGTCTTATATCGGCTTTGTAACACGAATGCAAAATGTGAATGTGTGTGGTAATTATACGACCGTTGAATTCCCCACCTGACCTTCCACTGACTCTTACGCTTTTACTATCACCACCCCAAATGAAGATAAGAACGACAAAGAAGATAAAGGCTGAATTCCGCAAAAATGCAAATGACACATTTATCTATAGTTCATTTTGTATATACTCTATAGATTAATTTACGCACATCTATGATACCCGTACGCGAAATTAAGCCGAAATGTCTGAATTTTAAATGCTCCCGAGTGAGTATACGATTTCATCATTGTGAATAGAATGCATTTAAGTCAGATAATAAAAGTAAGGGTGCGAAACATTCTACGCTTTACATAACAAATTATTTATTAGCGCGAGTAATTCCGTTTAAGATTTTTTAAGTTACTTACTCTTACTTCATTTTTATTGATTACAGGTAATTACTATGTATCACTCCGTATGGATTATAAATTTGTTGATATATGATTTTTGATCTTGTGATATAACTTGTGATAGTTTTAAAAATGCGTGAACAATACTCCAATATATTGCGCTCTTATTTATTGCACGAAATTCACAATCGCGTTTGTATTGTGAAGAAATATGTTAGAACAAGTATAAAGATGTAACGCATGGTTGTGCAGATCAGATTACGCTTTCATATAATTTTTTAGTTTTTAATTATAAATATAATGTAAAAAATTGTTGGAGCTTTTTGTAAATAATTTGTTTCTTGAGTCAATTTTTAAGTATTTTAGTAAAAATATTTCATATATATATATTGTTGTTATTTTTGAAATATGTGAATAACTTATTTATGAAACAAAATTTCTCTAAGATCTTTCAATGTCGCCTGTACTTTATTGTGCTACTGAGTTCTTTATAAATATATATAATATAAGTGGTTTTATTTAATTAAATGAAGCATATGTATCATCAATATTGTTTACATATTTTACATATTTATAGTTATTGTTTACATATTTTACATATGTTACATATTTATAGTATTTGTAGTTAAGAGAAAGAAACCTTCGTCTTTCTCTTAAGTATATATCAAAATTTATACGTTCAGTGAGACAATATCATTGAGATGCAGTGCTGTCTACGACGAAGAATGGAACATTAATTATAATAGTTCCAATGTATGCGTTGTAATATGTGCGTGTAGTAGTGTAGTAAAAACTTGCGTAAAAAAATATGTAAACAATATTATTAATTTAATCGTAATCGATTCGAATGAATAAAATTGACTACGATTGACCTTAATTGTGACTATGCAAGAATGTTGTTCGTAATAAAGTTAATCTCAACGTAGTTTTTTCTTTTTTCTCTAAGAGCATCTTTCTTTCTCCGTTTTTTTCGTTACTTACATTATCTTTGTATAACATAGTATAAATAATACTTTTCTTAATTAACATTCTTGGAGAATCTTTTTTCAGTTACAAAATTGCAGAAGTTTTATAAGTGGTTTATAAGTGGTTTTTTGAGACACATGGTGAAGATAAAAGAAAAAGATGAGAAGTTGCATTTTTTATTTAAAATAAAACAATTATTTCTTGATTTCGTTATTATTATTAAAGTAGTATATGATATGTGTATATATATCGCATATATTAATTTTTTATAAACTAAAAAGTAACTTTTAAAATAATTGAAAACTGCCAAGCAAAAAGAATAGTTTTTATACCTTTAATTTTAAATTGCCAAAACCTAAAGTTAAATCTTAATTAACAGTATTACATACGTACAGTTGCGTATACGTATGTATATATATTCGTACTTATTAACGCTCCAATTGTTAACGAGAGTCTCGTTCTTTTTCTGTAATTTACAAGCGTATACATATTTAACAAGGATATTTGCTTAATTTCACTGAAGATATGTCAGATATATAACGTATTTCTCTCTTTTTTTTTAGTGAGTTTAGGATTACATCAATAAAAAATTCATTCCGTATACGTGAAGATAATAAAAAATACTTGGTGACATTGAATGTTATGTCTATGTATGTATTCACTTAACGCATATACTTCTCTCTCTCTCTTCTTCTCTTTTCCTTTCTAATTACAAGTGCTCCGTTAACTTATCGCTAAAACTTTAAGCGCGTCTTGACATAATACTTGTTGAATGTTGTGTTACACTTTTATGTTGCGTTATACTTTGTTATTGCTTTGCACACACATTACGTATGATAAATTTATATGACGCAAAATTCTTCGAAATTAACCCGAGAAAAAATGAATTAATAGATTGCATTTAAATCTAACGAGATAAAACAATGGAAACAAAATCTAATAAGTTTAAATCATTGTATACACAATAATTATTGTGCGCGTCAGGCGCATAAGCATTATCGTTTGACTTCACACGCGTAAAGACATTAATTAACTTACTAATTAATTTACTTACTCATAAAAACAAGATACAAGAGATGTGTTTATGCATAATCAAGGATTTGCTAATTTTCCTATTTTACAATTAAAATTCTATTTTAGATTGGAAAAAAAAATGTTTTCCATCATAAGTGTAAAACAGCAATAGACGCAATTGATTACGTATAAATTTATTTCTTGTATCTTGTTTTTTATGAGTGAATAAATTAATGTCTCTACACGTGAAGTCAAATGATAACGAATATGCGCGTGACGTATATAATGGTGATTAATAATTGGCACTTAAGATATTTTACAAGAACCATCCTAAATCAGTTCATTAAAATTGAGACGCTATTGAAACTAGTTCCAGAAGCTATGTATATATAACTTACTTTAATGTTTTCTCTCTGTCTCTCTCTCTCTTTCTCTTCCTTTGTTTTTGTAATGCGCACAACGAACTTTGACACTGGGTGGTCTTTATTTGTAAATGAATACGCATCGCAAACAAGTTTATAATATATGTGACGTACATAACTAATGAGTGCTATATTTAACGTTTTTATACGCAAAAAAACATGGAGTTTTAATTTAAATGGAGAATTTAATTAAAGTCAACGGCCTTCCAAAAAATAAATATTTAATTTATTTGCAATATGCGATTACTTTATAATGTCTAAATTCTTAAAAAGCAATTATCTGTTGTGCAATAATATTGATATCTCATCAACAGAATATATTTCAATCAAACTGACGCTGTTGATTCACGATATCATATTTTTTTCCTTGTTGAAATATCCTCGTGCCATCGAATAAAAATTGAAAAATAATTTAAAAACTTATAAAATTGTAACAATAATTATAAACTATATAAAAAGCTTTTTTTTTTTGTTTTGCATGATAACGTATAATTAAACAAACAGCTTTTATCGCGACTTACTTGCAATGTGTTTTATCTTTCGTACGTGCTAAAATATATCACATTTATCTGAGATCGTATAACATACGAGTAACATAAAGTAGATTCCCGTTTAAGTCAAGTCACTCACTCGTGTCAAGGGCAACGATTCACTTTCGTCAAGTTCTCTTCTCGTACCGACACTCTACTATCATATACTCAAGCAAAGCTGATCATAAATTCACAGAATGAACTTAATCTTTATTCATATGTCAATTGAAACATATATACTTACATTGTACAGAGTCAAAAGGTGAGACAAGCACTTTAGACAAATAAATATACATGTATTAGACAAATAAATATACATATCACATGCTAAACTAAATAATGCAGAAATGAGGAAGATAAGGGAAACCTGTCTCACAAGCGTGAATATGTTCTAAAACAATATTGCAGAAGAAAAATTTAAAAAACCTTTCAAAAAACTCGTTAACAACTTTTTTACCGTATCACACAACATTGATTATGATAATAAGAATTATGGTTTTTTCTGTCAAATTTTTTTCGATTACTTAAATTGAAAATTTCAACATAATTCTTTTGCGAGAATTTAGATTTGTAGTTCGCATACACAAGAGAGTTCGATTTGCGCGCTTTGTCTTTCTCATGTAATTCATATTGCGATAGACAAAATTAACGAAACTTACGACGTACGAAGTTAACGATGCGGGCTGCAAACGAATATGGGAGCGATTTGCTAAGTATCTGGCGACCAAGCGGGGAGAGAAAGGAGACAAAAGTCGTATACAAGCTTGCAAAGAGAAAATTTTATATCTATCGGTCGGACTCTCGACCTTGGCCGTGCCATTCTGCGACTTATTAATTGGCGTATTGCGGTGTGATTGTTGTTTGGAAGAATTGAAATTCGCTTGGCACAATGATGACGACGTTTCGAGAATAAGACTATTGTTTGGACGCAAAAAATGTACACGCGTCTTATTACGCGTCGATACATGATGTTTACTGTCAGCAAACTCGAGCCAACAACCTGCGTAAGAAAAACCATAAAGTGACATTAAAAAAAATAAATTATTAAAAAACAAAAATAAAATATATGCGACATTATATAAAATATTGGGTACAATGTGTAATCATTGTATGATAAGTCACATCTCTTATATCTTTGGATGAAAATGCGATCAGAAAGTTTTTAATTTATTGAAATAACTACGCACACAATGAAAATATAAAAAACGTTCAAGAAAAAGAGAAACATATAATTTTCTTTTTTTGTTACCAGTCGGTCGCTAACTAAACGGAAATAAACATTCTAAGAAAGATCGGTCTCATACAAGCGGAAAATTACTGGAGTCGGAAAATTACTTCTACCATACAGCGATTTCCAAATGAGAATGCGTGTATATACTTGAAAATATTCCACAATGATGTGTGCAAGAGTTACATAGTAAATACATTGTTACGCACTACACGTATAACTCACGGCTTTAAATCACCAACTCGAGCGAGATTTGTAAATGCAGTGCTTTTATTACGTATCACACACTTACAAGCTGTATTGAATTACAAACAAGAATTTTTTCAAAATCGGCGCCGCGCGTCAAACTCCCCGCGATTCCACGATTCGAATCTTGGCTCAAAACAACCGTCGCTAAGGTAACTC